TTAGTTTAAAAAAAATGTTGGAACGATCGGTATAGATTAACAAACCCATAATAAGCTTTGATCCAGTCAAAGGTAGATTTAAAATGTAAGCCTACCAAGTGATGTTAAATAAAATATGGTATCTGTTTTAGAGTAAAGTGAGGGTTACATTGTACAGTGGCATAATGTACACATTGTACACCTCTGCCTACCTCTTCGGGGATAAAAGGCGTGATGTTACGTTATATTATAGCTGTTTAATTGAAAAGCTTAACATTTACGCTTAGAATTGATATATATATATAAATATTATCTTTCACTAGTTACATACATAAAACATACCATGTTACAAAAAGTGATAAATCAGTTAACTTTTATACTACTTTCCTACTTAGACAAGTAGAAAGAAACGTTGATAACATCATCATCATCATCGTCGATGGTTGATAGTAACCTTTTCTGAAAAAAAAAATCAATGTTGTTTTGTTTTCTCTCGACATTTTGTCTACGAACGTAAAATCGTTCCAAAAATTAAAATACTAACAAAGTACCTTATGATCATGTGCGGGCAAACCCTAATAAATGTGAACACCGTCATAAGTATTTGGCTCTTTCAAAATATGAGAACGTTGGAACATATTTCTAAGAAAGTAAAGTTTCTTAGAATACATTTTATTGACACATGTAGTGTAAAACCTAATGTCACGGGAAAATACACCCTAATTTCAAAGAAAGTCAAACACTCATGATTTAGTATGAAGGCCGTTCTAATATTAGTAATTATAATAATAAATTTTTACAATCAATGTCGTACATTCGAATGGTCCACGAATAACGGTGGATTGCTTAACTTGCGTGGGCAAGGGCGTGCAAAAAGCTAAATATATTCTGACTTGTCGAAGATTGACAGGTCTTATTAAGAAATGTTGCAATATCTTGTACACCTGTGTCTTATTCTATTTTTATTGCATGCTCTTTATGCACGTGTGATGTGTGTGTAAGATATACTTTGCTTGATGTACTTTGTTCTACACCTCCTTTCTATTTAGAAATGGAAGTGATACTAAAACTACAAATCCTTATTAATGTTATAAAAGCGTAATTACATGTTTGTTTGTTTGTCGTTCTTTAACGTTGTTTTTCCTTGACTACCCAGACAAATGCATGGCATGTGTTTTAACCGCGTTGCTCAACAAAGTAGTTTTACCAATAATATTATAGAATTATTATCAAAATAAAAATATTTACTTTGTATTTCTATTGTATAAGATCAATTGAAATCAAGAACATACCAATTAAAATACAAAATGTACTTTTTCATGAATACTACGAGACGCTACGAAGGTCTACGAAGTTGCTACGAAATCGTAGACTTGAGGTCAGTGTGTTTCTTGGATGCGGGCGCGTTTGCTTGTTTCTTTTGTGGATATGTTTCGGATAAGAATTATAATATTTTTGATGTAAAATGTATCACACAAGAAATACTACGAGATGCTACATGGATGCTACGAAGGTCTACGAAATTGCTACAAAACCGTTGACGTGAGGTCACTTTATTTCATTGTTAATATTTGTATTCTAAAAGATTGTTAATGTAAAAATATGAGTTTGAAGATATACCATTGTGTATGTTTTGAGACTAGACACCAAGAGGTAGGTAGCAGTATCCTCAAAAATTTCGGTGACCACCTCACTAATTTCACTAAACCGCGTGCTAACCATATAAATTATTATGGAAAACTGATGTTTAAGGCTTTTAATCAACAGTGAACGTAACTACGTTCATTTTTGGTGAATAACATATCACCCCAACAAGAACTACGAGATGCTACGAAGGTCTACGACGTTGCTACGGAATCGTCAGCTTGAGGTCAGTTTGCTTCCAGGACGTTTAAATTATAAAAGATGGTTAATATTAAAGAAATACAGTTTTAGGATATGCGTATGTTTTGAGATTAAACACTGAGAGTCGGCCAGCAGTATTCTTAATTTCTGACACTACCTCACTGCTGTCTATTATCAAGCCTGTCAATCGTAATAAATATGGCAACTCTCTATTAATAGGGAGAACTCTATCCAACAGTGGATGTGTTCCGGCTGATGATAATTATAATTTTGATGTAAAAACCGCATCAAAAAGTACTACGAAACGCTACGAAGGTCTAATGAAATCCTAAACTGAGGTCAGTTTGGTTCTTTTGGATCATTGATAATTGTATTGTACTAGATTGTGCAATATTAAGAAACCAGCTTCCAACCATTGACTACCATTACGACTAATGTTGAGACAGTGACGTCAAACAGCATCTTACCTAGTAACTGCGATTCCCATATGTCTGCCTAGCATGGACATTATGAAAACCTTCTTCTAAGAGGTCTTTGTTCAGAATTGGTCGTATCACGAATGATGATGCTAGTTTTGATGTAAAATGTATCAGACCTAAAGTGCTACCAGGGGCTACGAAGGTCTACGAAGTCGAGGTCAGTTAGTTAACAGAAAGGTTAATTGAATTGGTTGCCTGACTATTCACACAAGGACAGTATTGATACTATGATGTACATTGTAATAGTGCTACGAGAGTTCTACGACATTGCTACGAAGTTAGAAGAATTTGATTAAGTCTTCTAGATTTACTAGAAAAATTGTTGGAGTCCACTAAGCATAAAGTCAATTATTCTTAGACAATAAACTACAGGAAAAAAATACGTTTCGTCATGACTGCTACAAACGGCTACGGAAATGATATGAATTATCAAACTTGAGGTTACTATCTAGTTGTTAACCATACGTATTTTTAACTATTCTCTTTTTATGCGTTAAGCGAAATTAACAATTATACCAGATACAGCTAGAACCACAATAAAAAAATATAAATGATAAATCGTAAATGATATCATTGCAGTCAAGTTACCAAAATTTCAAACAGTTCAAATAAATAACTCATTTCTATTTTCTTCCAGTGTACAAACGTTATTTCCTATAAGCCATCGACTGCATTTTTGCACTGGCTGTTATGAAGCTATTATTTATGGCAGACGAGAGGGAAATCATAAAACATATTTATGTATTTCTGGTCCATAAATCCCGTTATATTTGTTTTAAAGCACTCTTATCTGTTTGAATTACTTCGAATATTTTTATATGCAAAGGATTACCTACTCATGAGTCGTACACACATAATATATATTTCTTCTCTATTTTTGTTAAAATATTACGATGTAGGTACCTACCGAAAAATGGGTGTTACATTTAGAAAATATGTGCTCATATTTTCAGAGAATAAAAGCTAGGCGGAATGTTTCCAGCGGGGCAGATGCCCGATCTGGAGCTGCGGGTTACCGGGGTTAACTTTTTTATACTTTATAGGTTGACTTTTGGCCACCATCTCACCTGGTGGTTCTCGGTGATGGCTGACGATGCAGCACGCCTACCTATTGAAGGAGGAGGTTCAGTGCACGTTCAAACTAAGAGAAGGAACGAGGGTCTATAAGAGTCTGACATTCCCTCTTGCTCGCTTCACCTAAGGCGGGAGAAGTCGTTGGATGATTTTCCCCCTTAAAAAGGGCGGATGTTACATTTATGTTGTAGAGGTATATTACTAGGCAAAACGTGAAAATTTAAATGGATTGTGATTCGGGACATTTCAGTACACAGTTTTACACCTAAATATTATAGACCTCACATCTGTTCTTGCAATGACGTTAACCACCATTTGAAGATGTTGTTTTATTGCCGATTTCTTTTATTAATAGCATTTATGTTATCTGGAAAAGTCACTTTCATAAATTATAGTTTTAGAACTTGTATAGACTTATTTCTAGTGTTGGTGGGTGATTATTAACCACATCTTATCCTCTTTCGAATGTAGTGTCGTGGAACCGTATTATTGGATTTTCCTGTATTTATCTAAATTTTCGGAAGTAATGACAGGTAGTGCTTGCGCTTGCTCAGACATGAATGTGATATGTGTTGTAGATGATTTCTGAAGACATGTACGTACAAATATGATTCACGAGATTAGATTGTGATATATGATGTTAGACATGGACACCTCTGTCGGAATGTAACGGTCCATTTTTTCCACAACTTACCAATTTTTTATTTGTAATACTCCTTTTATCTAGGGATCAAAGATGTTATAATTTATCACAGCAATGTTTGAGAGTAAAGATGATCTAGTTATGCGACAACATGTCTTACTTTATTTGAACTCATTTTTATTTTAGTTTACCCTATTTCTGTCGTTCCGCTCTAGTAGCTTCGATTATTAGGTTGTTTTCTACAAATAAGTGGACCAATAGAGATTATCAAAGCTTACTGAACTCGACTGTGGTGATCAATTATGGTTTGAATTAGTCTAGGACTCGACTTCTAACAAATGATTACTTTAATACCTAGCTCTTTTATAGCTGCTATTTATAAGTCAGATGAATTATGATTTTTCAAATACCCATACTAATAATTCATCTAACCCTTTTTAAAAGCTTCACACTTAGTATTTAGGATATCGTATGCGTATCATACTAAAAATTAGCTTATTTAAACTAAGGTATATGATTCAGTTTCATTGAACTAAGTCTAGTATCTAACAGTATATATTCAGAGCTAGCTAGTGCATCGACCTGGTATAACGAAAACACATATAAAATCGTGTCGTGACTTCCGTAATATGGAAAACAGCTGATACACTGTCTCTCTCTATCTTCAGAACAAAAATATATTGTGTTCACAAAAGTGTCTTAGAATAAATTAGTCCAGCAATGAGAATAGTTCTCGCAAGTAGGTAGACAATGCTTGCTTATCTATTAATACGTTTACGTATGTCACAAGATGCTCTATTTCTGGAACGTCTAATAATAAGACGGTGATAAATAACATGCACACAGTTTTTGAGCTTCATGTTTAAGCTACAGGTGAAAGCTGTTGGAATATAACTTATACTTGTGTTGTCGATTGAATGAGATTATTTCATCGGCACTTTTGCAGTATACGAATGAATCATCGTCGGAAAAGCTTTTGCTAAGTCATGTAAAAACTTCCTTCCGAGTTTGTGACAAAAGTCATATGTATCTATTATTATCTACTTTCCATCATCAATCAATCACCTGGGCGGGAGCGGCGGCGAGTGGGCGCGGGGCGGTCGGTGGGCGGCGCGTACCTGTGCGCGCGCTGCTCACCCCGCGCTGCCAACGCCAGTCTGCGCGCGCGCCTCACTGTGCGACATCGGCTGTCGCACGGCCGTGATTTAACGCGCCATTATGCCTCTGTTTTCGGAACACATCGCGAATATGTATTACGGTTCATCATCCCCTTATACTGGATTACCCTACAGTTATAGCAGCAGTTCAGTTTCCCCCTTGGGATCGTCTTACAGTGCTTCATATCTTAATCCTGGAAGTAATTACAGCAACCATTCGTCTCTCGGTGGATACTCTCGTGCACCATTGTCATCAAGATGGATTACCAGTTCAGGAAGAAACTACTCTCCTATGCTCACAACTATTACCGAAAGAGGATCGGCTAGTCCTGTAAGGATACATAGCCCGAGAAGAATACCAATTTCATCTAGAACGTACGGTACTCCCAACTATACCCCGCGTCCCATAAATATAAACACTGCCGATATCGATGTTTCCAGAGATAAATACCGACATAAAGTGGAATCTACAAAAGATCCTACACCTCCTAAGTCTGAGCCACAACAAGTAAAAGAGGATTCACATATTGACAATGAAAGTAGTCCGTTTATGCCTAGGATCGATGGTAAACCAGAAACCGGAATTGATTCTTCACCAGGCATTGAAAGGAGTACAATTAAACGAGGAAGAACAGTGGTGAGACTTTATACAATTAAAAGAAATTCTCCTCGTAAGCCTAATGAGGAAGCAGAAGCTACAGAGGTCAAACCTGATCAAGGTGCTGAACAAGAAGCCAAAGAAGAAACCACAACGGACGAAAAAGATTTTATGAAATGGAGAGAAAAGCTTTCTGATGACTTGGCCTACAAAGATAAGAAAGAGAAAAAAACCTTGGGTGCCAAGCTTGTAGAAAAATTTCAAGTGAAAGATGAAAAAGACTCGGAAATACCAAGGAAGTTGCAAAAGAAAGACAACTCACAAAGTTTACCCTCCACCACAGTACCCAAAACAACTTCAGTTGAAAATGCTAGTTTAGATCGAAGATGTTCTATGGAACTTTTGGCAGAACAAGCTAATTTATTAGATTCGTTAATTAGAAGTGAAAATCTTAGTACTGCTACTTTGGATTTGAGTAAAGTTGGTGTGACGGAAACAAAAAATAAAGTCGATATTCTTGAATCCAACAAACGACGAAGAACAGATAACTTGCAGAACTCGCTCAAGACTACAAAATCTGACCATTCACTACATAATACTCTAAATTCATTTAAAGATGTAAGAGATTCTAAAAATTTTCCAAAAAGACGGAGCATTAAAAAGTCATCTTCTAGCAGTAGTATACGTAGATTAGATTCTATAACTGAATTTCCAAAAGAACAAACAAACATAGACTTGCCTGCTATTGATGAAAGTAAATTATCAATGAAAAAAGAAAGTGCAAAACCGAAACCTAAACCTAAGTTAAAAACAAAAATTACATCATCTGTAGAAGTAATTGAATCTCCAATGAGTCCGCTGAAATTTAGAGTTGAAAATGTGACAGTAGAAGAAAAACCACGAACACCAAAAAAGGAAATCGTATACAGCAGTGAAGTAGAAATAATACCTCAGACGTCAGAGACAAATAATAATTTAACAGATGTAAGTAAAGACAAAAGTAACATAAAGAATGTACTTGAATCACCTGAGCCAGATGATGGCAATTTTTGGAATAAAATAGGAAAAAGAGAAACTGTTTACTTAGCAAAAAGAAAACAAAACTTAACTGAAGCTAAAGAAAAACACTTAAGGTCCTTATTTTGGTTCCCAGAAGAAGAAGAAAGTGAAGGGAATGAAGACACCAATGTTAATAATTTAAGTGAAACAGTTACAACTCCCAATAGCAACTTACCCTTAATTGACGTAAATACAAAGGAAAAGGCAACCGAACAAATTTCAAAGCCATCAATGCCATTACCAAACAAAAATGAGGAAAATATAAAAAATAAATTAGATGTTGAATCTAATAAAGGTCTTTCCGACCAACTTAAAGATGAACAGAAAAAACCAAACTTAAAAACGAATGCAGATTTGGAAATGCAAAGCAAATATGATTCCTTCAATAATAATGTAATTAAAGAAGAAATTATAGTATCAACCAATTCGGATTTGAAAGAAGTGAAAGAAGAAAGTTCTAAGCCAGTACAAGAATCTACTGTAGAAAATAATGAAATATTGTTGGATAATTTCAAACTACTCCATGAACCTACGATAGAGAGTAACGAAACACCAACCAAGAAAGAATCATCTGTTAAAAATATTGGAAAGAGTGCGTCACTGGATGCCATTGATGAAAGCAAAATAAAGAAACCTAGTGAAAAGAAAACAAAATCTGAAAAATCTAAAAAGTTACCTAAAAAGGATACCAAAAATGAGCTGAAATCCCTTCAGACTGTTTTACCAAAACCACAGAACACAAAAACTGATGTAAAAATGCTCAATCAGTCAGAAGATGCCAATTTAAAAAATAAAACAGACACAGTACTAAACACGATTATTCAAACAGAAACTGCGCAAAAATCAGTGAATGACGAAATCAACATTGAAATTAAATCAGTCCAATTGCCTGTGAATGAGTCTGTAGATCCAAAACCAATAGAAATAAAAATGCATACAAATATTACTCCACCAGTCGTAATAGAAAAGGTAGAAACCAAAGTCGTGGAACCAAATACTAATAAAGCAGAGTTAAAAGTAAATACAGAAAAAATATCAGAATCTGTGAGTAAGACAGCATCTGAAAACACTTCTCAGATAGTGGACCTTAAAACTCCAGATATTAAGATTAACGTAAAAGTTACCCAAGAAAGTTCATCCAAGGTAGCAGACACTGTATCAAAAGATCAGATTTCTAATAAATTAACAGACGGTAATAAAACTAAAAATAAAGAACCATCAACAAGTAAGGTTCCTTGCACATGCGCGTGTACGTGTTCGAAAAATGCGGAAAAGGAAACTGAAATTCCAAGTTCAAACAAAAACTTGAGAGCTCCTGCTAAGAGATCTCCAGAAGCTAAGTCACAAGAAATTAAGCCAATAAAAAGTGATGTACCTAAGAGTGATAAGACTGATGACAAACTGTCGGAAGTAAATACCACGCCTCCGGTAAATGAAGAAGCATTGACCTTATCAAGTAGTGATGCGTCACTTACACCAGCTAACGTTCCTGATACACCAATAGTGTTAGAATCACAAGACATTCCAAAAGAAAAGATTGAAGTGACAGTACAAACAGAACAAAAGACAGGAGAGGAAAATAAGGCTGACATTACAAAAAAAGACGAACAAGCAGAAACTTCCACGCAAGGTGTGGCTACTTTACCCGTTATGCCAAAGAGGCCAGTGAAAGAAGAAAAAGCGTTAAGACCTTTAATAGCAACTCCGCGTCCTTTGCAAAAGAAAGCCCCTCAAATTATCCATTCGGACTCGTCGGAATCTTCATCAGAAGAAGAGTCCTCAGATGAGGATGACGAAGATGAATCGGAAGACAGTGAAGAATCCGGAGAGTTCTACGAGTGTGAGAACAATCCAGACGGAAGGACCTCTACCGGTTCAAATGATTCAGGCTTCGATTCTTCAGCACCTGCGTCGCCAGCAACATTTTCGCAAATAAAGAAAGGTAACTATTTCAGACCATTCTAGGTACGCACAAATTAACGAGAGTCATGGCGTAATTTTTTTTCACTATACCACATATCCAACTAATTTTCCACTAAAACGATAGAAAACTATGCACGTCTGCTTTTGCACGGCTTTCAGCATATTAGATATTGTGGCATGTCTGTACAGATGTACAAAAACCTTTAAAATCTTTACAAGCCTAGAGCCACGCGACAATTGGTAATCTGTTTTAGACTGTGATGTAAACTGCCATCGAAAGTGTGAAAAATTGACTTCGAATTTGTGCGGCGTGAACCAGCGTCTATTGGTGGAAGCTTTGGCATCAAGAACTGCATCGAGAAGAGGTGGGTAGACTGGGTAGACACTCGAAATAGAAACAAAACTATGTCTGAGGTGATATCGACGATTTTAATGTTATCAGCTAAACGAAATATACCTACTAATACGAACGTCATTGCGACGTCAGCCGTTCAGCCCAAAATAAAGCAATTTTATTGGCTAGCTATACAACGTCTGTTACTGTTATTATTACATTTATAGTGTAGGCATTTATTGACATGACTAGAAGAAACTTTCCCGGTAAAAGCCACGCCAAGAATTAAAATTTGAAGAATTCAATTGAATAAAAGAAATTAGCTATTATTGTTTCTAATACGAATTACAATTTACGTTTTCAAGATCCAATAAATCTATCGTTTCAATAAAGTCAATTTCTAGTAGATGTATTTATTTATAAACTGTAAGAGTATTGTGCGTATTTGTTTATGTTCAGAAGTACATTGTGGCGTGGGTGTGATATGTGGCTGTCTGGATACAAGCCAATCATTTGCTCACCTGTACAAAATTAATAGGATCAATTGCAGCTACGATTAACATAAAGAGGTATTTGTCAAAACGTAAATAAATAATATCGACCTAATTATCTGAGTATGGGGCAAATACCTTTATTTTCACGAAGAAAATGGGTACAAATATCAAGTTAGTATGGTTATTTTAGACTCATGTTTATGTATTTATTCAACAGTCATATTTATTCTTAAAAATTCTTCACCATTTCGTTGACTTGTTTCAAGTCTTGACGATTGTTGTGATTCTGTCAATCATCTGATTCTCATAAATCTAGTTTGATTTACCTATGTAATTCATAGGACATTTTCTTACAAATAAAAATGTCTTTCGGATAAAACGGAAGTATTGATGAAGGACATTATATTTGATCATTCATCGACGTAGTGGCATGATGATGGATGCCAGCGCGTGTCTCTGCTCTCGTGACTAACGGATCGACGGTTCCTGCGATCTTTGATTAATTGGCTAGCGTCCCTTCAAACGTCAATGCATGTATTTTTATTTACAATACAATCGATTTTTATGATGGCAAGAATATAATTTAACAAAGAATATTTTTTTGTCATTATTATTAAGTATAATCACGACTTTTGTTTTATCTTTTGCATGAAAACAAAAAAAAAATTATTTATATTCGTTCATTTGTGGCGTACATTCTTTTATTTTCTTCTTTTCACTATACTATCTCACGAGTAATAACTATGCACAAATATAAAAAACAATATTTCTTTCTTATTGTGAGACATGTTGAAATGTTTATTCTTGCATACTTTTATCATGTTTTATGTCAAATATATTACAAATGTATGTACTATCTACATGACCACAATGACCAACAATTCGACAGATTTGGCTGACACGTTTTTATTGAATAATTGTTAGGACAAGAGTTCATTTGAACAAGCCTTCCTTTAACCCATTGTGTGTCTAAACGTGGATCCACGCGAGACACAATGTAGTTTCTATTGTGTCTTATATACGTGCATTCAAGTGGTTAATGGCTGAGAGGTTGATTTGTAGGCTGTACTAACTATTATTGATACATGTGTTGATATTGTAAGTTACATATAGAGCAATTTGATTATAATTCCTGTACGCAGGTGGTGAGGCACCCGGGACCTCGTCGAGTGCTACTCCTGCAAGCACCAACAACACCGACATCTTGGAACAGCAGCTTGGTGAGACATGATAAACATGATTACAACTATACATTTTACGCCTGTGTATGTCTTTTCTATACCTTCTACAGACTAGATTGATAATAGTGTTTTTCTTAGTGTATTCACCCAAATTCTGCTTGCAGCTACTAACACTTTTCATAGATGTCATTTACTTCATTTCAGCGGTTTTCAAAAATATATTCATGCCAGCCACGCTCCGACCGCGTGAACTTTTGGCTCATCATTTCTAAACTTGACTCATATGTAATTGAACATTTTATATTTACGTTTTAGTTAACCACGAGCCAGCAAAATTGCAGGTCAAAGCTCAGAACCATTCCTCTAAGTAGTAAATAGTTCCAGTATATTAAGTCGATTAAGTGGAAGATTTATTAGTGTTCGATTATAGAGGTAAACACGGACACTGGCACGATTGGCAAAAAATCTGATTGTATTCTGATCACATCTATAAATATCTTGAAGCCGGCAGGACTTTAGCTCAAAACAGAGTGCAGGCCCACGCCCCAGATGGGTTCCGCATTCCAGTCGCACGAGTGTCCACTTATCACTGCGAATATTATGTAATGCGGACACGAAAAGTGTTAAACAACTTCCAGATTAATGAACCGCCGTTAATGCCGACCAACTCCTTTATTAAAAATCAAAGATATACACAAAGACTAATGCGCGCTTCTTTTTGGAATTCCCACATTATCCAGAACTTATTATTTCTGTTTTTGCATAAGACCAATGTAAACAACATTTACAACTCCAACCGCTCTACCTCCTGGAAGAACAATGTAAAATAAACAGGTTTTTCCGTGAATGTGTACAGCGTGTGCCGAACAGGAAAATTAGAAACTCTTAGAACTTAGAGGTGAACGAATGATTTATCTCCAATCAAGCGAAACTTGCCAAGTTCTGACACCTCAAAAGGAACATTTATTTTCTAAATGGATGACTCGTATTCTTAAAATAAATACACTTCAGTATGCTATTTTATTACAATTTTAAGTATGTAAATGTACTAGAAAAAGATTGTCACTTCAATACAATTTTTTGCTGTTACGCAGTAGGCTATCGCGTACCGTAGTCATTTTCTTCAACTCAAGTTGAATCGTTAAATTGTTAGTTAGATAATAATTCTGCTACTAAAACCTCACAGAGAATAGACTGACTATTCTTAACAGGTATTCTTTACTAGAACAGCTTGAACATCTAAAGAGACAGTTTAACAATATATCTTAAATACATATTATTATAATGATAGCTACGATAATTATAATAATGATTCTACATAAATTATAAATAGTTGTACAAGATTGCAATCTGTAGTTAGGTAGGTAATCGCTAAACAAATATTTATAATATTTACAATAACGCAATAAACACAAATACTATGCGAAAATATTTGTAAATAATAATTTAGATCTAAAAATATTATAGAGATTGATACTACTTTTAGGCCGCGTTTCGTAGAAAACTGCGCCCTCGTGCGTTTTGAAAATTTCGCCTCTATTCCGCCACTGCGGCTGGCGATGGAGAAGATCGCGCCGTGAGACCTTAGTTGAAATGAAGAATTTTAAGGAAGTATAAAGGAATGTAAAATTAATAACACTAGATTTTGGTGTGTTAAAATCGTACTTAGTATTATTATTTGATTTTGGGCGATAATGAAGTATTATTATTTGAATTAGAAATGTTTTTTTTATGTGTAGGTATTGTATGTTTTTTGTAGTTGTAATCTTGATTACTTTGTCGTGTCATTGTCCTTAGGTACATATTTTATGTGATTAGTACAGGCAAACCGGGAATGAGAGTGAGCTATTTATAAGATGGCTCAGTCTATTAGCAATTTATAATTTCAGATTAATATAGAAAGAGAGCATAAACCTAGATTGTAGCCTCTTGAATTATAGGTAATTGGGGCTGGCTCAACCACGTAATTTATGATTTATGTGAACAGCACTGTAGTAATATATTGCTTTGAATGTTAGGTATATTTCATTTAATTGGCTATGGGCATCAACCACTGATATGATAAGAGTATGGATAAGAAACAACTAGGAAAAAATCGTGCCTACATAAACTTCACTTGGTCACCTGTAATGGCGGATAGAACTAGGGATGTAACTTTTAAAACTGTAGAAATATCGATATTTTAGAATTGGTTTTAATTGACTTATCAATAAAATATCATTATTTTATGATTCATCTGGATTTAATTTTTATCTAGCTGCTAAACATTACCAACATATTAGCGAAATATATTTAGTAGTTGCTGCGTGCACTGTCACTCCAGTCGATCGTGCCTATACATTCACATCATAACTTTCACGATACTTATGTATCGAAATTCATGAAAAGGATTTTCCATCAACTGGTCAATATTTATATACTTAAGGTTAAGTAATTTTTGAGGGTTGAAAAATAAAACTGTATCAAAGTATTCATAAAATCAAGATTTATAATATACAATATCTTCGTATTTTTCGTAGTGTTTCCCTGTAATGTAATCTGCAAAACCATCTTTCGAGAAGACTCCAGAACTGGTTCCAAGTTCATTTTCATGCACATATCTGGCTAGAGGCTGCAACATAAATAGTATAATTTAACTTACTTGATCCAATTGAACATAGATTTTTCTATAGATTCTATAGGTACTGTACTAAGCTCTGAACGAAAATGTTTGTACATTACAATGATAGTGATAGATAGCGGAGGAAAACAGAAACATATAGGTACAAGAACCCGGTTAGTTATGAACTTAATATAAATGTTAAATAAAATGTTAAGTTTGCACCTCTTCAAAAAATGCTTCCAAAACTAATATAACAAAACACATAATGAATCGTTTACATTATGATTTACCAATAGAGCTTGTAGCGATAGGGCCCCATCACGTAGATTTACTATTAATTTATTGTTCGGTTAAAACATTAATCTTCAAAATAAAGTTAACAAACAAAGATATGTTTCCTTCTAGTATCTATATTTCCCACATTAATTATTTCCAGCCAAGAACTTCTGCGTGGTTCAAGCACAAACTAAAAAGAAAATTTATAATATTATTAAAATTATCGGCAGAGTTCGACACATTCTAATAAATACTCTAAGAATACCCTAAAGTTATATTTCATTTGTTTGTTTCATTTGAATCCGTCGAGCGGCATTTGATAAAAAAATCAATTTTGACAAAAATGCATTTCCCACAATATTATTCCTTATCTCATATTGTACAAAAATTATTCTCTATTGTATTAATTATTTATTACATTACGTAGGTATTGACGATGGTGGAATTTTGTCGATAAAATGAAATTTTTGACGAGTACTTAATGTTTTTTGTATTTTGTCATTATGTCAAATTAATGCACTTTATCATTCAGAATTTAGTATAGTTCTTTGTTCTACTTTTGACGCATTTATTATGTACGATAAAATTATCGATACGGGAACAATCATGTACATCACTATTTTTTAATGAAAATTGTTTTAGACGTATTTCAACTAAAATTAATGAAAATAAGCACTGCATTAGTTAGAAAAGTATTGTATTTAGTCAATTTGCAGCAACCACACTTGAATAGTTTGAAAAACAGAGATATTTTAATGAAAAATAACAGTACTTACCGATGTAATGTTACACCTGCCGGTTTAGTAATATTTTTAGTGCTACATCCAATAACACTGCACCCGGGCATAGTTCTTCTCACTAACCAATAATTTCTTTGTTTACCACGCACAAAAACAACAGGAATTCTACAAATTTTCGTAACAAAATATTGTTGACCAATGCTTTGACAGCTGATGTACCACTGACATGCACTGATAACAGGGACTAAGATGGCCAATTCGGCACAACTAGGTTTTTCTGATGACGTCAAAAAATTATGGCCAGAATGACAATAATGTGTTGTCTCTTTCTGCAAAAGCAAAGAGACATAAGTAAAAAAGAAACAACAGTATGTTTATGAATTTGCCGTCAAGATGGATCCTAAATTCTACCCGTAGACAATAGCCAGACATCTATGTTATATTTATAAATCTATGGCATCAACACATAATTTCGACGCAAATGTGTAAACCTATAATGAAGCATTGATATGGCAACATTTTATATAAAATGTTGATAGTATTACTGGCTGACAGCCTCGATGGCCGAGTGGTCGCAAGTGCGACTACCGGAAAGGGGTCTCGGGTTCGATTCTCGGGTCGGGCAAAGTATTACTGGATTAAAAAAAAATCTCAGTAGTAGCACGAAGTCTGGAAATGTGTCCGGTATATGGTAATAGTCTCACCCCCTATTACATGAGACTCATAACATAAATAGTGAAAAGTGGGTGTTATTTCTGTGTGCACTTCTGCCTACCCCTTCGGGGATAAAAGGCGTGATGTTATGTTATGTTATGTAGATAGTATTATAAGGTCAAAGTGTTGGTTAAAACAATTACATTCAATTTTTTCACAGACGTTTTAAATGACCCGATGCACAAGTCGAATTTGATGTAAGGAAATACATATTCTTCTTGATGACCTTGACAAGGTTGATTATATTTATTCTGTTATGCATTGTATAGCAGGCTGATAAAATCGTTTAATTGAAAGAATGCAATTCTTAGCTCTGAGTACCTATATATAATACGTTGAATTAATTTGTAGTATAGCAACGACGGCGACGTATACCCTCATTTTTAACCGACTTCAAAAAAAAGGAGGAGGTTATACGTTCGGCCGGTATGTTGCTTTTTTTTTGTAGCTAATTTAATAGGATAAAACATATCACATAAGTAAACGTTGGACTGATCGTAGTGCCGCCGACTCCTGTTTAAATAAAAAATATAAGTTTGACCCAGATTTCAGTATATAAAGCCCTTTTTCAATTCGAAAGAAACTAGCACAGTAGGTACTCTAAATAGTTCTCTAAAATAAAAATCAAAACATGTTATTTAGATACTTACGTAATTTGTTTTCACTTAGCGGTAAAATTTTATTTAATAAAAACAAAAAACAATTTATATTTTATACACTTACAACACACTGATTTTGAATAGGTACATTCAATCATAAAGTACATTAAATCATAAAGTAATATGTGTTGTACTCAGGAAATTAAAAAAAATAACTTACAGAAGTACTTTTAAACACGTAGGTAGTTGCACCAGCGGCCTGGCCTAACGACGTAGACAAACTTAGCTAGACTAGAGTCACAAACTGACAAAAAATACGTACCTCAAAATGGAAAGTTCGATTTTTTTTCTCAACAGGATCCCGTGATTACCCCCGAATTAACCGCGACGACCTTGATATTGCCGCGTCTGAGCAAATATTTTTAGCGACGCTCACGATCTCATACGAGGTGAAAGAGAATTAATATATCGCACATGTTGTACCAATTATGTCATACTACTATAACGCAACGTAAACATCCATGAACTTGAATTATGTTTTAAACCGACGACCCGAACATTAAGAAAAACATATAAACACGACTTGTGAATCAGGATACAGTTTTAGTGCCCACTCAAAGAAGACATAAAACATAATTTAGTATTGAAAAATACAGCACTATGAATGACTATCATACCACTCTAAATGAACTCAGTTTTATAATTTAAGAAAAAAAGCCATTTAGTCCTATTAGTATCGTTTTTGGTCCAAAACTATTAAAAAGGACGAGGCTTCGTAGATTTGAAGCAAATACCTTCAAATAAATCTGTTAGACAATGAAAACTATAATCTTTGGCTCAGTGTAGAAACCAAAATGAAGCATAAAACATTTGTAAAAGCATTAAAAACCGAAACGTTTTTGCCAAAACAACTTTGTGTAACCTACAGATATAGAGTCTATCACTAAAACCCAGAACGACATAAATTAAATTTTAATGACCAACACCGTCGAGATCATTTTGTAGTTCCAGCCAAACGAAATAATATTTTAATAAAATAAATAAGGTTTATTTCATATTTTTTATTATGACGGGAAGCTAAATAAATTAGCAAAGTGACCGTCTCGGTGGTCGCACTTGAAGTGGCTAACGATAAGGATTATTTGTTGCCGGATGGCTTTATCAAAGTAATTTTAAAGATGTGTATCAGACAGACTACAGATGGTAAAAACGAAAATGCGCAAATAACAATAAATAAAATGAACAGACGGAAATGTTTAGACTTCGATACAAAATTGTTCTCTAATAAAATCAAGCTCGTATTATTGTTTTAATGGACGGTTACTTAGACTTTTGCACTTAATGATACCTAGATACTTTCACTCATCGTTCCTGGAATAATTACATGGATTCAATGTTTTATAGCACATTTATTGGAAATAAATATGCTATTCCACGTTACACAACGATAACTTAGATCTGTCTGTTGTTACTTCATGCATAAATCTCATAGTGTCCGTTTTGGACATTTCGTAAATATATTTTCGACACGACTATGTTACTTGTCAACAGCTATATTTTATGAACTCATCTTATATCTCACGTCTCGCTGGATTGTTAATGGTCCAGAGTCAGACTGCTTGCCACTTGCCATTCCAATATTATATCTACGCTCGAAAAAATATTAAACAACTTCTTTTCTATTATTCTTACGTCACAATTTATTGGTTTCTTGAGCATTAGTAAGTAAAATTAAACTTTCTAGATAATTCTGGTCTCGGATGATGTCGTGACTGTGCCAAAATAGCAGCCTAGCGCTTGAGGCTCTTTTTTGATTAAAGCTTTTTATTTAAAACAAAAACCACCAATAATTCGATGCACATCTTATTCCTGTGCATTTGTGATAAACACGTTTTAGATGAACTTCTTTCTTTTGCAGAGCAATCCACTGCGTATGACATATTCAGGAAGACTGGCCGGTTCACTCCTCCGGCACGCACCATACCCCGCTTCAGGAAGTACACCGTAGAAGACTTCCAATTCATAAAGGTCCTGGGCAAAGGCAGCTTTGGAAAAGTAAGTTCATTAGCCTCTTTGTCTTCATTAATTTGTATATTCCAAAGATCAATCTTCCCAGTTTCCGCGTCACCAGGACATTAATTAGTCAGCTGGGACTGTTCGTAATTATCATTGTTTTCTCCCGCCGACCTGAATCTGGCTCAGAGCAGTCATGTGCCAGACAAAGACTCGTTGCGACGTTTAAAAATGGATCAATATATCACAACAATCAAAGAGATCCTAATCTACTTTCAGATAAATATCAAAGCCACATGTTCTTCAAACAGCTTTAAGTTCAGAAATTATATTCTTATGAACATTATTTTCCATTCTAGCCAAACTTTTAGGTATCTAAATTCAAACACTAGATACTGTCAGCACCTCGCAGCTATAAAACATTATTCTTCCTAATTGCTACCAAGAAAAAAGTGATTTTATTTTGTGAAAACCCAAGGTGTGTGCAAATTCTTCGTCCCAAAATAAACGAAAACTGAAACAAGGGATTTTGCCAAGAGAAAAAACAGGTCTCGCTAACATAGATAAGCTGTTGTGTAGGCACCTACGTAATGATTTGCAATAGACAATACAGTGTTTAGTTTCTGAAAGACGCGTCTAATAATAACACATGATATGACAAGCCGGAGACATTCCGTAGCTACAACACATCACATGGTATGCCCCATCTTGTCCCTGAACCGCATTTTCAATTACTAATTCTGTCTCAATTGTTCCTTCCTGATTGCGAAAAATTTATGCTGTTTTGATATAGATTTGCGTTATTGCGGAAAGTTTTATTTAATTCTGAGTACGTATAGATGTCTTACGGACACTGGCACTGAGATAAAATTACAACAAAAGCAATATTTTTCATTAATCCATTCATGTCTATTTACTATTAGCTAACAAGTATACCTACCTATTTCTTATGACGTTCAGTGCATTCATCTTCGATACAGAACTGGCTGGTTACCTATTTTTATTTAAGGTGACCACAGCGACGCAACGCGTATTTTAGTAGGCATAATAACATTAACACCTTAGTTATTGCACTCTTAAACTATGTCAAAGTGTTAGGAAATCATATGAAAATAGAATTAACTACCTGAGAACTCAAGAATAGCAGTTTGGATGGAAGTAGGTCAACAGTGGGTACATGATGTTCATATGAACTCATAATAATATGAAAAGAGAACAAGAGAAACTCATTACACTTCAGAAGCGATGGCAGACAAAGACAAATAAAATTAAAACATATGACAAAGTGTCTTGACCTCTCCTTCGTGTAACCTCGAAGAACGAGAAGACCGAAAGACCATCCAAACTTTAAAGTAGTTTCTTGGCCACAATATTATAAAAAAATAACTATTTTATTGTGTCAATAAGTGAATGAGCTATTACTACGCGCATGATCACCGTAAACTACGTCAGTAGACGTCTCCGATTCCCACCAGGTACACTGCATACGTCATAGCCAGTGAGCCGTCTAAAATATTATCTAGGTGTCTAGTTGATTTTGACAAGTGACGATATAATGCTATTAATTTCTCGAATCTGAGACGCAGACGCAGTGGCGAGCTACGCCAGTTACTAGTGACGCACAGAACATCAAAGTGCTGGGAAATGTCAAATAATATTTTTATATGCACGCAGCGGACGATGAACTCGTAACGTTCTGGACCACTTGTATCCGATTAACGCATTAGAGCAATTTTCTATAAATCGAATTCATGATTACCACAGAAATTAAACTAAGTAGCTATCCTCAGAAGAGCTTTTCTTTATCTTAGCTTATTTAAGCTTGACCTGTACAAAAAGGTGTTCTCGGGTTTCTCTTAATTACTTCAAGTATGCAAACTAGATTTCATAAAGAATTCCAATCGACTAAGATACAACCAAAATAGTACATTGACCCCATCGCCAAGTGACCTTCCAGTTCACAATTAAAACGGATATGTCGTCGTTGAACAAAGACATTACATGGACCTTCAATAGTGATGAACATTGAGAACATCACATTGACGGAGTAACGGTGGACTTTCCTCATAAATTCACTGTTCACGTAATAAACAAAGAAGAGATAGAATCAAAGTCCCCATAAAACTGTCAGTCGTGTGCTATTAACTTTGTGTTCGTCGCCAACCGCCCTTTCCTTTCATCAGGGATAAAATTATCTGCCGATATTGTGCAACAAGCAGTTTGTGGTCCCGGCCTGAAATACTTGTGAACTCTGATATTTCAAACGAAGAATACCCGTCGAAAGATATGTTTATTGTATGCAAACAGATTTACATTGCACTAGGTCAGTTTGTTCGTAATTAAATGCAGTCATATAATTTTATTACAATCGTAATTTCTTAGAATCATAACCATTGTTATATCTTTACCTGTGTGACAAATCATGTAGTCTACAGACTAGAGTGAAAATAGAAATCAGGACAGACAGACAGCGGGTCTAACTCAGTCATTCTAGCAATAAATTATTCTAAATCACCGTTTCTCTGAATCTCTTTGTATGAGTAAAAATGTCGAAATATTATGACAGGAAAATTAGTAGATACAATAAAAAAATTGGATAGATTTCATTTTACTGTTTGAAGCAACGACTGATTTTGTGATGCTTAGTGGGTCATTTTTGAAATAAAGCATTTTGACATTTTCTGAAATAAAAGCATTTTGAATTTATGTTTTAAGACCAATAAACTGTGCTATTTCAAGACATATTTTATGTTTGACTTAATGTCAAAATAAAATGATGATTTTGGTGTAAATGCAGTGGTGACCGTAACCTCAGTGACGATGCGTGATGGCAGCCTGCCACCTGCAGCTAAGCGGTTCGCCGCGCTTTACCTGCCGTACTATCGTACTGTAACATTAGATTTATTTGCTCTATTTCGGGTGCCTACATCACTGGCCACCTTACCAACGTCAGAGAACACGTGTCATCGTCCTCCGCTCGACGTACTGTCGCCTATTAACTATTGTCTATCGTGGTTTAATAGTCTGCCATCTACAATTATTATCTCCCTACCTACCTACCTACACAATGATAAATGTTACAGCCAAAACAACACAATCTTTCAACGCATGTAGGGGCAGAGGCACGCTATTTTTCCACAGCGTATTTTTATACTTTACGGATGCGTCACGTTAGTGTTTTCATCGATTCTATTAGTTCTGATGACATTTTTCTATAAAGGTTTACGAATGGACTTCGACAAATTAACTGCGAACTTTCGTTAAAAATAAATGAGCGAATGTGTTACGTTCAATTTGATTTACGGCTATACCAAATACACGTTTATTAGCAAGAGTAATCCGCGCGTTACGTGAGCCAGAACGCAACGTCTTCCTGGTTTCACAGTGCTTGGCCCAATTGCCTTTGAGATTCGGCCAAGAATACGGAGAAAGCATCATGTATATGAATATAAAACGAAAACTTCTGTCACGTATGCTTCCTGCGTCATATATCAGCTTAATTTTACTTTGTTTGTGTTTATATATTAAGATACTTACGACGTTGCATAAAAAGAAAAAGGTTTCGTAACATATTTTATTTAAGACGCGGCTCTTTATTACGTAACCGTGAATGTGATGGAAGATAGAAAGACTCGATCATTGTATGTGTCTACGAATCCATCTGGATGACTTCTCAAAGACAAATCTTTCTCACAGTTGGTTTTTGTGGCATCCGCTAACGATTTGCGTGTCTTTAAATAGAACCGGTATCAATATCTGTTTGTCTCAGTACTAACGTCTATTTGTGAACGCACTGAACTGGAGAACTATAGGGCGATGGACGCTTTCAGTAGTTTTATTTAAATAACAACACCGACCAATGATATAAATATGTACTTTGTTTATTTAAACATTCTAAAACGAATGTAGTTAGAAGTTGAATCTATGCACTGTAGAACGTTGCATATTTATTTTATTTCATTCCATAGGTACAGTAGGTACGTATTTGATGAAGAAAGTTATTGACTGTAAGTAGGTTAGGTACTTTATTAGGCATGCATACGTATCTAAATAAATGGGTAGTTTAGTTCCCATAATATATCTAGCAATTTCTTAAAAGGTAAACACATCTTATACAAATAGACAATGTTCATGTACGATATTTTTCAGAAACTAACAACAATTTATGTATTACCTAATAACATATTTTTTGTCTATATTTCCAGGTACTGTTGGCGGAACTCCGTGACACAGAATACTACTACGCTGTGAAATGTTTGAAAAAAGACGTTGTTTTAGAGGACGATGACGTCGAGTGCACATTGATCGAGAGGAAAGTTCTCGCACTTGGCACAAATCACCCCTACCTCTGCCATTTATTTGCTACTTTTCAGACGGATGTAAGTAAACCGAACATTTATAATCATATTTCATGTTCCACGATGACATTCGAAATAGCTTCATTCCGCTAAATTTTATGCGGGGATCATTAGTGATTACGCATTTAAATCGAATAAATTTTGTTTTTTTTTTATTACAAATCTTCACTTTACTTTATAAATGTTGAAGTAAAAAAATTACGTGCTATGTATATTTATAATTAAAATTGGCACACTATTTGGGGCCTAGACAGACAAAACAGTTATGATTTTCATAGAAACATGAAAGTCCATTGTAAATAAAGATTAATAACTGATTCAGGATGGTGCAAAAGATCAAAAAGTGCCCCAGCCATAGGTAGTCTCAGGGTGGGCGCAGGGTGTCGAGATTTTTAAATGAATTATACCTACTAGCCAAAAGGAGTTTTGAAACGTACTGACATAAAGTTAAGAAGAGAAGTAATATTCTAATTACATAATTTACGTGTTTTAGTCTCACCTGTTCTTCGTAATGGAGTACCTGAATGGCGGAGACCTGATGTTCCACATTCAGCAGAGTGGGCGCTTCCCTGAAGCACGCGCGCGTTTTTACGCTGCGGAAATTGTATCGGGACTTAAATTCTTGCACAAGAGAGGCATTGTGTACAGGTAAATAATAAATAAATATTGCCATTTGACATTTACTTATAAGTAAAAATAAAAGTAGAAAAGCCCTAAGGCCGTGATGATATAGTTATAACGTTGGTGAACTAAATTGATAATAGTCTTCGTAATGTTTACCTGAACTACTATCAAAAAATGTTAAATAGTGCAAGTAAAACATTTTTAAATAAATAGACCAATTTTCACTTGAATTAGTGTCCATGGTGATTTGCTGAATTACTAAAGTTATTATAGTAGGAGATCCCGCCTTGAACGACCTTCACCGAGATGCTTATTTGATGAAACTTATTTTATATTCAATTTAATATGTCAATAATTATATTCCGTATGGGTTGCCTAATAAATTTCAGTCCAGAACATGACTAATTATTAATTTAAAAAATATATTTTTTCAAATGTTTCACCGGTTTGACTATTAAACAAATTCCATTTCAATCGAAAGTATGAAGCCCATAGAATATGGAAACGTTAGGTTGCCTATTGTATTCCAGTCATAACTCTCGGGTTGCCAGGTCTAAACAGGTAAATTTATAGTAGGATTTTGCAACGGTCTGATAATTTAATCAAATTTAATTAAAAATAAAGATTATTTAATTATGAACACGGTAAAATAGGGTTGCCTGCGAAAAATCAGTCCTGAATTAGGGTTGTCGAATTTTAAAAAGTGAAATATTGCCGCGAGTGAATAGGTAAGACTGAGAGGTCCCAAGCAACCGTTCCGTGCGTTAGAAGAGGACAGAGCATAACAGCTGCTTTTTAATGCTGCTACTGCTATTTTTGTGTCATTAACAGAAGCTGCTGATATTTTCATTGAAGATAAAATAAAAATAGTTCAAGAATTTATAGCTTGTATGTACATATGGGATTAAGAATTGCACTAATGTGAATAATGCAAGATATCGCATTATTATGAAAAATTACTCTGCTAAAGAAGACAGTGAGCAGTTTCTAAAAAAAATCAAAGGCTTTGACTCTAACTCCATACCTCCGTGCTGCATATCATTACCACAAAAAGTTTTACAAACTATTTAAGTAAATTCGATGTGGCTGAATGCAACAGATCCAATATGTATCAAACTTAAATCTGAGAGCTGTGGTTGGTACTTAGATGAATATTTAAAACCACGAGGATTTATTGGGGATCATGCACCTTTAAGAATAGATGATATTGTTGAAAGAACCGAAACAGAGAGAGATGACGAAGAAGATGCAGGTGTCGAAGATCTAAGCTTTATTTCCGATGACTCAGGAGCTGAATAATAAAAAAATATATTTCTTTATAATTTTGTATAGGTAATAAACAGTGATTTTTTTTGTTTTTTTTAGAAACTGCTCACTGTCTTCTTTAGCAGAGTAATTTTTCATAATAATGCGATATCTTGCATTATTCACATTAGTGCAATTCTTAATCCTATACATACAAGCTATAAATTCTTGAACTATTTTTATTTTATCTTCAATGAAAATATCAGCAGCTTCTGTTAATGACACAAAAATAGCAGCAGCAGCATTAAAAAGCAGCTGTTATGCTCTGTCCTCTTCTAACGCACGGAACGGTTGCTTGGGACCTCTCAGTCTTACCTATTCACTCGCGGCAATATTTCACTTTTTAAAATTCGACAACCCTAATTCAGGACTGATTTTTCGCAGGCAACCCTATTTTACCGTGTTCATAATTAAATAATCTTTATTTTTAATTAAATTTGATTAAATTATCAGACCGTTGCAAAATCCTACTATAAATTTACCTGTTTAGACCTGGCAACCCGAGAGTTATGACTGGAATACAATAGGCAACCTAACGTTTCCATATTCTATGGGCTTCATACTTTCGATTGAAATGGAATTTGTTTAATAGTCAAACCGGTGAAACATTTGAAAAAATATATTTTTTAAATTAATAATTAGTCATGTTCTGGACTGAAATTTATTAGGCAACCCATACGGAATATAATTATTGACATATTAAATTGAATATAAAATAAGTTTCATCAAATAAGCATCTCGGTGAAGGTCGTTCAAGGCGGGATCTTAGACTATTAAGATTATTCAAAGGAGCGTTAAGACTGTTAAGAGTTAAGAAATCAATACATAGTATAAAACAAAGTCGCTTTCGCTGTATGTCCGTATGTATGCTTAGATCTTTAAAACTACGCAACGGATTTTGATGCGGTTTTTTTTAATAGATAGAGTGATTCTTAAGGAAGGTTTGTATGTATATACATATTGCACCCGTGCGATGCCGGGGCGGGTCGCTAGTACAATAATAAGTATCTACTACAACACAATACAACATATATCTAATTACCTATATTTGACCCAATTCCAGGGACTTGAAACTGGACAACATTCTTCTGGACTTTGAAGGTCACGTCCGTATCGCAGACTTTGGTATGTGCAAGCTGCAGATCTACTTGGACAAGACCGCGGACACTTTCTGCGGCACCCCGGACTATATGGCGCCAGAGGTCAGTTACATTGATGCATAAATGTAATGAAACTATAAGAAGTATTTAAGGGGCGTACTGATATGATACCCTGTATTTTTTACCTATATGGCAATGGCCTGGGACATGACACAAGGACATCGTATGTATGAAAATAGTTACTAAGCAAGAAGAATGAAGATCCATTTAGTAGTAATTAGGAACATATAAAAGTACTTTTACTATAGGAGCATTTAACATTCTAATTTATTTGGAATCCTATGTTACGTAACTGAAGATAAGTATATAATGAGTAAGATTATTCATAACAATAATCCGTTGCAGTTGAAATGAGTTTTAATTAAGACTTAAATCTGTCTCCATAGATCTTGTCATAATTAATTATTATTGAATCACCCAGTACACCTGCCAATCTCGTGGTTGGCAGTCACGCGGTGATGATCACAAAATTATACCTATTGAAAATCAATCGATCAAAGGTTGGTCTATGTTAGATTATTGTGTTTCTTATTATATTCTATTGCTTTCACATTACGAAATAAATGTCATATTTGGATATACAAACTTTAAAAATTAATGATTTAATATCGGGCGTTAAATATCCGCTTTTGTGCGGCATCGGCCTGCCGTGTTCCGTGCGTTTAAGTTAAATCTTGTTATTAATTAACATCAAGCCTATCTGTATAGTAGGTACGTCAATAATAATTGTCCATTAGAAGACATCAGAACAACGCCACAATAATTCAAAGGTTCTGCCTACACACTCTCACCTACTTGACAGACAGGTAGATTCTGTAAAAAATTGTGGACGACTAAACCTGTCAGTCTGGTCTTATGATATTCTTGAGCACATTTATGATGCATGAGTATGACACATTGATATTGGTACTTCTTCATATAGTACCTAATTAGTCGCCAAATGTCTGTCAACACTATGCAGAACAACAACACATTTACACTTACACGTTAGCGTTTAGTATCTGCTCGGTGATCAACAATAATGCACTACGGAGGTCAATAGCATTCCTTTGAAGAGTCCTTCAAGGAGTCACTTGTCTTCTAATTTTAGCAAAAGTAGACCTTACTTGGTGACATTTTGGTTGATATTGGGTTACAACTATTTCAGTATTTAGAGACTTAAGAGTTTTTACCACAAGAGATTTAAATATCTAATATTCTGATTCCAGATAATAAAAGGCCTAAAATATAATCAGACCGTAGACTGGTGGTCATTTGGCGTACTTCTGTACGAGATGCTGATTGGTCAGAGTCCGTTCAGTGGCTGCGACGAAGATGAGCTGTTTTGGTCCATTTGCAATGAGATGCCGTCCTATCCGCGCTTCCTCTCACATGAAGCACTCACCATATTGACTAGGGTATGTAGAAATATACACCTTTGTATGAATTGGAAAATCATCAAGTGTCAGACTATTACTGATTAATAACCACTTCATTTCAACTCTCGTTTTCTGCCGGGGCCACGGTTCCTACCATCAAACCCTCGCCAGACAACTCTGGCGAAAAAATTGCACATATGAATTTACCTGAAATAATGTAAATGTTCCAGTTATTGGACAAGGATGCACGGACCAGACTGGGCGGCACCGAATGCATGCACGGAGACATCAGGGACCAGGACTTCTTCCACGCCATCCACTGGGACAGACTCGAGAGACGCGAACTGGAGACACCTTTTAGACCACGAGTGGTAAATGCGATATTAATTATGGATATTAATCATTTAAAGGGCGAGATATTTTAGAAAATTGTTGATTATTGTCTGATCACTTGCCTCAATATGTTCTTTCTCCCAACAGCGACATCCAATGGACACCCAATACTTCGACAAAGCGTTCACGGGTGAGCGACCTCGCCTCACCGCGGTAGAACCCCACGTACTGCGCTCCATGGACCAAGAACCTTTCAGAGGTTTCTCCTACACCAACCCCAACACGACGGACCGCTAAACTCAACTCTAGTACATAGAGTGATGGTTGAAATTCCCTTATATTTAGCAGGCGTAAGCGCGAGACGTTTTCGAGAACGTTCGATGCGTGATCATCGATGTTGTTATTGGTGATTGATTGTAAGTCCCGCTGGACGGTAGTCATTGGCAGTCGAATTTTTGTAGTTATTAACGAGTAACTTAGACCCCATGGATAGCGTAGAGCGTAGACATTTATATTGTATGCGTAGTATCTACTTTTTACAAGTGGGTCAAATTATGTCAGCTGCCTTTTTACGTAAGTGTTGTATTCTAAAACGAGTCGATAGACATACATAGAAGATATCGTAAATTAAATCAGTTTAAATGCATATCACTTAAATATGTTATTGTGTCTGGTACACGAATTGTATTGTTATATGGATAGGTGTAAGGTACAGGCTGTAACACACACGCTGCGCATGATAGATACATTCAGAATTCTAAGTTTAAAAAAAGTATCGAGTAAATCATAATCTGTTAAAAATCTGTTAATATTTCCAGCATGTGCGTTACAAGGCTATTTTAATAGTAAAACAATATTTTATAAGTTTACGTATTCATGTTTATTTTAATAGTACAATCAAATGCATAAACATGCATAGGTATTTTATGACATACTACTTAGACAATTATTTTATAACTTGATACACTAATTTAACCAATATGAGAATCAAAATTATTAATTATTATTAAAATTAAAGTTGAAGGCTTATCTATGAACTAGTCAAAATTATTCAGTTTAAATATTTTAATTAAGGAAAAAAAATGCCGCAATAATTATGTCATGTATCTAAAGTCAATAAATCTGTGAACTAGTGTTATGATTATTGAAATCATTTAAGTACTTAATTAAATAATATTTAATATCGTCCTTACATAAATTATACCAAAGATAGTTTGTTCGGAATGTAAATTGTTTGTTGGATAATAAAATTATTACAAATTACAATCATTGTTTTCGATTATATTCTACTCAACTGTTCAAAATCACTACTATGTGTTTATTCCATAATTAATTAATTAAAACATAATCTAAATACAATGTACCTGCTAGAACTACAAAGAACATTATACGAAATATTGTGCAAAATGTAAAATTAGTTTCGTTGCATTTTAAAAAGGAGTTTTAGTAATGGTTCTTTGGTTTTCTACTGCCATACTAATATAATTATTATTATTCATTTCTATAACTAAATGAGAGAGAAAATTACTGTACTAATAGTAAAATTGAAAATGACTAAAATGTTTAGCTGAAACTACTCAAAATACTCTTTAATAATTGAATCAGGATATGTTATTACCAGTTGAAGAACTTTTTCTGTGGTAGCTACGAACAGATGATGGCACATTTCTGCTTCGAAAACTTCTAACGCGACAATGGTGGGGTCTTCGATAGTCCTGTCTAGATCTTGCACGTGAATTATTATGTCAGGTTGGGGAGAAATGCGATGTGCACGGGGTCTACACACTATTACCTGAAATTAGAATTAAATTATTGAATGTTAAAAAATAAAAAAAAACAATCAGCCGAACATAGTACCTCCTCCTTTTTTTGAAGTCGGTAAAAACTTCTCACCCCCTATTACATGGGACTCATAACATAAATTAATAGTGAAAAGTGAGTGTTACATTGTACAGTGGTATAATGTGCTCCTCTGCTTACCCCTTCGGAAATAAAAAGCGTGATGTTATGTTATGTTAAGTTATAATTAAGACTTTTTATTAACGATTTATTTTAAAAGACTAATAGCCAGTTTCAATAACATTAATAAATTATATCAACTTCGCAATCATCAGGAGTTTCAAACGATTGTTTGGCAGTCTTTTTTCATAGTTAAAAATGAAACTAAACATGTTACCATTTGATCTGAAACTTTTTAAAAACCTTTGCTTTTTGTATATCGAAAATAGTCTCCAAGACTTAATCGATATGTTGAAGAAGACGATGCAGATGACGTGCCTGGCTTCGTAGCGAAGGAGCAAGTAAAACCCCTGTTACTTTCGATCATGTTGATGTAACGAGACTGGTAAAGGACATTACATCACAGAAAGGTAAGATGACCAAGATACAGTCCAGAATGGAAACGTCAAACAATATCATTTCTGAACTACGTGTTGAAAGTACATCATTGCGCAACACAGGTTCAGTAATTAGGTCACCTGGGGCCTCAAAGGTGAGCACACGTCGCGGAGTGCACAATGCCACAATCGGCAGTTTTGAGTTTGCAACTACAAGTATGTTGTCAACTGCCAAAACCGCTGACGAAGCATCGCTCGCCGTCGCCGTCACACACACACCTCTACACCAGCTGCGGTAACGGCACACGTGGGTACGACGACCCCTGCACGTGTTTACGCAGATATTGTCGCTAAGAAAACTACTGCGTTGCATACGAAGCGACCAACTGATAAAGGGGTTAAGCAGAAGTGCTATTAGCCCGCACAGCTGAAGGAGCAAGTCGACAGGGATGGCTTTGTCAGTCAAGAAAAAGAAGTCATGCCAAAACAATTGCACCACTGCATCGACCAGGAAATATTTGCTGCGTTTAGACTGCATTACTCTACAAAGGTCGAGGAGATTGTAGGTTATATACAGATCAAAACGAACTACACTCTAAGGGTTTTGAAATTGGAATCCCGCCACAGCGTGAATTTCAATTAATTTGTGGTGAGAGCGAGTTCCGAAGATTCACCGAAATTCATGACACCGTAGTTATGGCCAAAAGGTGTTGTTTTCCGACGATTCCACAGCCGGATACCTGAAACCATGCACCACAAGACGCTGTCACTGCACTATAGTCGTGATAATGATTAGTACTGTAGTTTTTATTACTTCCATATTATATATTATATATTTATAACATTTTAAGTTATTGTTGTAGTAGATATAGTATTATTATATTTTAATATGGGCCATCGTTGCGGGATACAAATAAATAAAGTAGATACGTAAGCTTGCTGTATTTTATAGTAAAAATAAGCAAAGCCGTTTCGACTACTGTGAGTCAGGTAACTCTGCGTAGTAGACATTTTTTACAGTTACATTTTATGTTGAATATTTTAATGTACATTATATACGGTGTGTTTCTAAACCAACTTGTGGCACTCGTGTTTACATAGACGCGCACGGCATGGCGCGATGCCAAATATTTTATTTCTTTTAGTTTATTTATAGGTAGGTATAATAATTCTATTATTGTTTGTATACTTGCTTTTCTACTACATAACGACAGTTCGTAGTCGCATGTTAGCATTTTTTGTATACAATTTTTATGGCAGACGTTACGCCCACAAGATTTTTTTGTATCCCTCTTAGAACAGTAATTTAGTACTTCTACTTCTTTGTCTGAATAAAGTCTAATTTTAAGTGAGCAAAGAATTTTACTAAGATTATAAAAACTGTTCCCAAACACATGGAATCATCAAACCCAGATCCAGTACATCGATTAGTAGATCACAGAAATAAATTGGTTCGTGTAGGCATCAACCCTGTAATAGGTACGTAGCACAGGAGCCAGTCGCTAAGCCACTAGCACATGCAGTAAGTAACGTAAACTGATAAGTAAGTAAGGTAAAGAGTAATGATACGAACCGTCCCATCTTCGAAACCAACAAACAGGACCTCGCCATGTGGCGTGGCGCACGTCATCTCGGAGCATTCCAAACGCATCTGGTCAAGTTTAGTATTGTGATAAGCCGTTATTCTCGGAATCCTTTTGGGCACTGAAAATAAGAATCCACAACGAAGTTACAGGGGGTCGAACAAGGCCTGAATTGCTTCGAGAAAAGGATGGTACGGCTGCGACGCTTTTTTGCTCGAGTTAGTGGGGGCACTGCCATGCCCTTAGATAACACAGCTTACTCAAGTTGCTTGGGAGACTCATCATATAATTCCATATTTTGACTTGAAAGTAGTCGAGCACTTTCCTCGAATTAGTTACGTAAGTTCAATAAGTCATGCTATCAGATTACTTAGAATACATTAAACAATGTATTATTACAACGGTAATAATCAATCAACATTTGAAATAAAAAGCATTGGGATTTGGGAGGTAAGGCGCACTCAGTGCAGATAAACCAGACAATTCAAATAGATTACCTGGCATTGCAACATCAGCCTCATTGAACAATGCCCAGCCGGAGTTCATTGAAGGAAGTTGTACCGAACTACTTATGTCGGATATTTTGCTAAACTTTGCGAAATTGGCATCTTCGCGCCACATAGATCCAAGCTCTGTTGCCATTGTAACCCTATTGTCATGTATATTTAAAGCACATATTTTCTTGCCGACATCTCCGTAGTAACGACCTCTCATCTTAAGACTCCACTGTTTTCTATCCCATATTAGGGCCCACACTACATTACGGTCAGTTACCATGTAGCATATGTCGTCTTCTAAACTGTAACAATAGAAGTATATACTTTATTTTTTACAACGAGTTATTATTCTTACGCCAGCGACAGCAGACCAATTTACACCGACGTCGCACAGGTGCTTAAAACTACCGACATTTATGTCATTTTTGACATGCAATGTTATTAGTACCGAAGCATTTTTCAAATGATATAATAGAGAGAATTCAGCTGTGTGGGATGAGAACAAATTTCCGATCTTTGTTTGTTAATTGAACACCAGCTTTCCGCCTATAACTTATAGATACACTTAGAATTTAGAAATTTTCTCAGGAGTCCCAACTCTGCAGGAATATCGGGATCAAGTTTACGTTATTAACTATGTTACCTTATATTACTCCCTAGAAATTACTTTCAGTAATAAAAACTTTTTAAATAGGTTCAGTATTTCCTGGGTGTATTCAATGTAAACAATCAAATCTTTTCTCCATAACATTAAACACAAACTTACCCATACACTTGAATATTCCTCATAACATACAAGTCATTTTCCTTGGTGGTATCATATATTGTGCTATCTGGCTCTGGTTTTCCATACAGATATATATCGCCTAACAAATTGTCGTTCTCTAAAGT